AAAAAAAAAAAACAACAGAAAAATACGCAAATAGCCTGGGAATGAGGACCCGCAGCAAAACAGCTAAACGCGCTGCAATTGGCTGAAACAAAATTCACCGCTCATCTGGATATCCGTGTCGAGCTGGTTTGATGTGTTGCATCGTGCATGGTACCAGCGATCCCATGCTTATACACGCAGAGGTAAAAGACATGCAGCGATATAGCAGCGTATGTAATCCATATCAGACATCAGTTGACTGACAGGATAATGGTGCTCCTAATGTGAAATAACAGCTAGGGCATGTTTACCTTGATCCCATTTGCTCCCCTTGCTCCAATGCCCCCAGCAGCTCCACTTGGACCCTAAAAGACGTTGTAATACTGAAATATCCTGACTTCTCAACTCTTACTAGATCCTTCTTATTCCCATCAATCCACCACCCATCAATGACACCTTGGTTCATACTCGCGACGCATTTTTAGTTGGTCTACCACAGGTAGCCCAGTAAAAAGCTTGACTCTGACATATATTCTTCTTATAAACTGAATCCCAACTTCCAAAATATTTGCAAAGTAAAAAATATACGACAAAGTAGTGGAAGTCGGGGATTAAATGTTTTCTTATGAGTTCTTGACTTCCATGGTGTAAAAAAATCTTGGAAGTAGCAGCTGAATACCAGCCGATATGTTCTATGATTTGAAAAATGTCGCGTAAAAAACAACACGTTTTTAGAACTTCCATAGTATTAAAGTGCTGACTTCGATGATAGCATAACTAGTTAAATTATTACTTTACTTCCATGGTATGGAAATTGTTGGAAGTCGCCATTTCCAACATACATTTTTCCATGATTTGGAGCGCGCTAGATAATAGAATGTGATGTTCTGTACGCGTACGAGGTGTAAGCAAACTCAACCCAAGACTTGAACCACAGATTGAAAATATATATCACTTATCAAGACAAAGATAAGTATACATAAGTATATTCACCACTCACTATTTCTCCCGTTGGTCCTTTTTTGCCTGTCTTTCCAGGTTTTCCTTGTTCTCCCTTAAGAAAGAAATAGTCTTGTGACCTACAGCTAATAAGCAAAAAATATACGCTCCCTCCCCTCCCATAGTCTTGTGACCTATAGCTAAAAAGCAACAAATATCCTCTTCCTCCCCTCCCATAGTCTTGTGGCCTAAGGCTAATAAGCAACAAATATCCTCTCCCTCCCCTCCCATAGTCTTGTGGCCTACAGCTAATAAGCAACAAATATACTCTCCCTCCCCTCCCATAGTCTTAAGCTTGTGACCTACCGTAGGTCCTGGTTTCCCAGGTTTCCCAGGTTTCGCAGCTTCACCGCGTTCCCCCTGTCAGAGAAAATTACTATCATATCGTGAATATTTATGCATAAATAGATATAGTACACTTGCTTCTTTCGTCTGGGGTCTCGACATCACACGTGAGGAAAGTTTTAGGCCTTACCATTAATTCGAGGTTATATCCCAAGGTTCTCTTTTCCGTCCGTGAGTCAGCTGTGCTAACTTTGATCAGCCCAGAGGTTGTTTCAGGGTTTGATCTGTGAGTTAGCCGTGCCCTGACTTACATCAGTCCAGAGGTTGTTTCAGGGTTTGATCTGTGAG